TTGCCTTGCCTTGCCCTTGCCTTTGCCTTGCCTTGCCCTCCCCTCCCCTCCCCTCCCCTCCCCTCCCCTCTAAATGACCTCCACTTGATCTCTTTTCTAAAAGGGATGTAGCATTGCCCATTTTCCAATTGCCCAGTATAAAGGAGTCACCAGAAGTGAATTTTGACTTTATATTAAGATTGGTTTTGGAGATGCGTTACATGCTTCTTTAGAAGATCATCAGTGTCTTATTTTTTTTCTTTGAAGCTTCTTACAGAGATACCATCTAGATGGTTTGCTTTTAGTCTGACAATAGGGTCTAGAGCTCCATCCTTTGTTCTAAGACAAATCTGATCATTCCTGATTTGGCAAACATCTGAAAGTTGTGTAAGGGCACAGACAAAAGGTTAGGAAGACAAATAACGTTCTGGGAAGCAGGGTTATTTTGCAGAAATCTACTTCTGGCAAGTTACCGAAGGAGAAGGTGTGGAGTTTCATATTTGGGAGGAACACATTAACGCGGCAGCCAGTTCTGAGTTTCCTAATCTCTCTGCCACATCTACAGACAAAACAATCCGTTGGCATTCCCTTGCTGAGGATGTCTGACGTTTTTGCCAGGACATTTGAAAACATGCCAAGAACTTGGGTGGAGTCAGAAATGCGTAGGTCATCTGGGGTTACAAATGTTTACAACTGCCAAGCTAACGCTCTAAATCTTCGGTTAGCTGACCTACAGAAGAGTGCTTAATTCATCACGCCCTATCTCCAGGCAAGTGGAGAGCACCGGAGAAATATTCAAAGCAACGGCCTGTCACATTCAGATCGAAAATTAAATGTGGGGTAGGTTTCACTGAGAACGTGAGGGCCACAGTGAAGAAAGGGGTGGCTTTACAGTTCTAGACAGGATTAGGGGCACCCATTTCAACGGGGTTCTCGGCCAGGATATGAGATTGAAAGTGCTTTGGCCACCTGAGTGAAGGACCTATGCTGGGAATCAGGAAGGAGTCTTCCTTGGTTCGCCTCCAGAAGATACTGCTGAAGATCTAGGCCATAGGCTTGGGATGATGTCCCACAGGAGACTTTCATCTTGTCGACATGATGTTGGTGGGAGAGGGCATCCAAAATTCTGGAGTGAGGTGCCTTCAATATGCTAGAAGACCAACTTGTGCTTTGCCATCCATCTCCAAGGAAGCAACTGATTCCTTTGAATATTGGGCTAGATGGAAGAGAACCAGCTGGAATTAAACCCAGACAAGATGGAGGTGCTGTCAGTCACTTGGAAACCAAGCCCTTGGATTGGAGACTAGCTGGCTATGGATGGGGTTTCAGATCTGCAGTCGGGGAGTGCTCCTGGGACCTCAGCTGTTGGGGGCAGGCCCGAGGAGGGGTGTGGTTGCCTAATTATTTCCAGCTGTGATCACTCCTGAGCCAGCCAATGGCTATTCATGCTTTGGTTACAGAATAGGAATCAGAATGAATATATTAATACGTAAATAATGGAGAAATCTCAGAAGAGCCTCAGAGACCCCCATAGTTTCTCTAGGATATCCCAGAACGATTTAAGGGTTTTTCTTTTTTCCACGGAAGAGTGAATCCAAAGCTTCATTCAGTTGGGGGGGTGGGGGTGGGGAGATTTGGCTTTGTATTTACACACACTGTTCATATGTTCGATGTATTTTGTTTAAACCATTTTAGATGTAGAGATGCCCAGTGACAAAGAGACATTTACCTTTGGCAATCCAGCGGCTACAATTCCAGGATGTCCCACTCATACTTTTTAAAAATGGATTGTGGATGTTGTCATGGAAGAACCAAGCCATCTCGGCGCTTGGAGAGAGGTTGGGACTACCTCAGCTTCTCCCTCTGGACTCCTAGAGCAGGAGGGCAACCGTGAGGCTGTAAAGTCCAACCCCTTTGCTCAGGACAGCAATTCAGATTAACGCATCCTGGAGAAATCATTCTCCCACCTCCTTTTAAATGCACCCAGGGAAGGCAACGGGTCATCCAAGATTTGGTTCTTTGCTTCCAGATCTCTTCCCGTGGTGCTGAAAGCCACATGCGGAGGAGATCTACCTAGGTGTCTCCATATCTCCCCCTTCCTCATGGCATGTAGATCGCTAAATATCATTCTAATAATGCTGTTTCATTTCACTGAACCTACATCCCTATTAAATGTAACTGCCCTCCGTCTTGGGTTTCAGTTGATTTATTGTTGTTGTTTTATAATTTGTGATGTGTTTGGCAGAAACTAAAACTACAAAAATACAAATTGGTGAATTGGTGTTACATATCAAAAGGCTGAGAGGCTCCCTGATAGACTACAAATCAGTTTCAATACAATGTTAGAGAAATCAGAATTTTATTGACAACACTGAAAACATCCACAGGTCGTAACCACGTTATACCACCCACAAGCATTAACCGAAGTTCTTTACTACAGAATTAATACAGCAACCCCCATGACAGCAGAATATATTCTGGAAATGCACACACTTGTTCTAGTATAATAACAATCTCTTCAAACATTAGGAGCTCGGCTAACTTCAGGGCCTTACTTTAGAGTAGTCCCATGGTGATCTGATCCACAATGGAGGTTGGGGGGTGAATTTTATTAAACAATGAAGCTGGGTGGATAAATGCTGCTTTCTGCTTCCTGTGGGTTGAAGTTCAGCTCAAATCACAAGCTTCATATATTGGATAATTTAGTCCACCATTCGCTATTAGAAGGTTACAGCAGTGTTTTTCAACCTTGGCAACCTTAAGATGGGTGGGCTTCAACTCCCAGAATTGGACTTCAACTCCCAGCTGTCTGAGAAATTCTGAGAGTTGAAGTCCACCCATCTTAAAGTTACCAAGGCTGAAAAACACTGGGTTACAGCAACGGGAATAATCCCATCCATTCAATAATGAAGAGAGAAAAGGTTAGAGTAGATAGCTATAGGTAGCTATCACGTTGTAAACAGTCTCTCAAAATGCCAAACATAATCCCAACCCGTGTAAAAGTTTTGAAAGACTTGATACACACCATAGATGCGACTTGAACAACTCTCCTTCCTGCCTCCCCGGACAACAGTTGGTTTCAACAGGTTTCATGCTTCTTAACTGAACAAGACCCAAAGCACCAAGAACATTTGGTTCATCTACTAATGTATGCAGAGGAGAGCTATGTGAAGCATGGGAAGGAAGTCCTTCCCAAAGCATGTTAGTGCAAAGGAAGCATTAAAGCAGCTGCATCCAGGGGAAGGTTCGCATGGGTGTTTCAAAGTCAGCCTAAAGTCATCTCCATCTGGTGCATGCCTACAAACCCTTCTGCTGGGACCAAGAACGAAGCAAAGTAGCTGTGCGTGCATTCTTTTCTGGCCACAGGTGCTGTGGTGATGGCTGTTGTTTCCATGTGGACCAGTCACCACTGGGTGTCCCCAATGGCTGTCGACCAGCTGCTTCTGGGTGGTGCTGGCCAGGAGATCACAGCTGGATTTCCTGGTCACTCCAGAACTATCATTCACTTGCAGCACTGACTGAGGGAGCTCACGTGTTATTGATCACTCCCTTCTGCTTCATCCCAGGATTCCCAGGACTGTCACCTGTCATCTGGGCTGTTTCTGAATGTGGGTTTAGCACTCTTTCAGAAATGCGCTAGACCAGTATTTAAAAATAGCCTGCATGGTGGATATTCCTCCTGCTTCACCCTTAGCGCCAGCCACTTGTCGTTTGGGTCACTGGACAGGTGGCTCAGCTGACCGTTCTAAGCACCCACCCACGGTCTCCCATCCTTGCCCAGCCCAGGCTGAGGACAATGACTGGTTTCCTGCCAGCAAGTGACACTCGGAGGGAAGAGAAACAAGGCCAGGGAATCCACCAATAACTTTCCTTAACTTGGTTTGAAATAAATAAGGACGGCACCGTTCGCTGGCTTTGTTTCCGGGGCAGAATAGGGGTTGGCCTTGGGGCAACACTAATTGTGCTGACCTCGTTTTTTGCCTGCTCAAGGACTGGTGGAATGTACATTCACTCGGCCATCTGGAAGAGCCCATTTTGTTCCTATATAACATTTTAAGCATTTAAAAAAATTCTGAAAGGACACAGGACAGATGAATGGCATCTGTTCCAAGATAATCTGTACAATGCCAGTTTACTGACCAATCTTATTTTTTTCATACAATATTCTATGAGAGCTACAGCAACAAAGATTAGAGCCACTAGATCTGAATGACCAGACATGGCAGCAAAGAGGTGAAGGTTTCTCACTCTCTTTGCTGACATCTAGTGGCCATCCAGATTTTTGCAGAAGAAATTTGGGAGCCTTCTCTGCATAGGATCCATGCACATTATACACCAAGTGACCTAAAACACACACATATTATCACATAGCCCCATCATGTTACTCTGCCAAAACCAGTGATCTCATGACAAAATATAACACAGACTATATGATGTAGGATTCGTGGTTTAATCTGAGGCACACCTGCTGTATTTCCTGGGAGCAACTGAATATAGCCAATTCATAGTTACGATCGACTTAGCAGAACTGGGAACGAAGGCATTTCAACACTTGTAGATGGCCAGGCCTGTCTGCCTTTAAGTCCAGCTCCACTAGATCTGAAGCACCCGAGACCATGTATAATTGAAGTCCGCACATCTTAAAGCTGCCAAGGCTGAGAAACACTGATCTAGTCTATAGGACAGAGGACTTCTGAACGTCAGACAGGGCACGAAACACATTTTCCTAGGACTTCCAGCTGCGAGACACACCTGCAGGGTTTGTGTGTCAAGAAGTCAAGATGGTGCTGGTGATCGTGTGATGAAACCCCCTTGCTCAGGTGAGGAACAGCTGGGTGCAAACTGAGAAACAGGTGCGCTAATTCCATTTTTAAACCTTTAAGCTGGTAAAACATTTCTGCTTTTCACACTGAAGCCTAACGTATTAAATAAGTAAAAAAAAAATAAAATACACACACACAACATGGAAAGTGGTGGAAGGCTGCTCCCAATTTGTTCATACGCAGTATTTTGAACACTTCCGCCGACCATCTTCTGATAAGCAATCCTCTCTGAAGTGTGATTGTTGCTACAATTAGTCTGTCTCTTACTTGAAGATCAGGTTTTTTTTTAAAAGGTTCCCAGAGCTATTTAGGTTATTTGGCTGACTGCATTTTAATAAGCATTTGTTGCTATTCTAATAACTATTCCCACTTTCACTGTTCTTCTGTGTGAAGCTACAAAGTGTTAGTTATCTGAATACACCATTCTGACATGTTGTATAAGCTTGGAAATTCCTTTAAAAAAAAAAAGAAGTCTGGGAAGAGATCCACTGTACGATGCTCCAGTCTAGAAGGCCAATTTCTTTACAGGTGTTTGCATATTTGTTCTGATCTGCTTCTTTGTTGTATAATAATCTGCAAAAAAAACCCCAAACCGACAAGTAGTGACAAGAAACGATGCATGGAAACTGTTCTGCAGAGCGGGCAGGGTGGAAACCTTATGAAAAAGGAGATGGCAGAACCCAGCCCCCATTGCATCCCTGCATTTAGAAAATTAGCCTGCCCTAGAGAAATGACTAGTCTTCCACCCAGGGGGTCTGCAGGGAGAGCAGTGGGGCCCGAAGTCAAGATGGCGGCTGCGAGTGTGCAACTTAAGCCCCTTTCTGCACACGCATCACGCGTGCAAATAAAAAAGAGAACATAAACGCTTTGAGTGTGCAGCCACGGCCACCATCTTGACTTTTTTGACTTTCCCACGGAAACCCACTGCTTAGACTGTATATATCCTCTTCAGTGAAGTACGCAGGTAGGCTGGCTGCGTTCTGTCACCTGCATGACAAGGTCACCTGAATTTCTTTTGAAGGCAAATCACACTCAAGGGAGGGGTCCCAAACAGTGTCATTTGAAGTCGACGCACCTGTTCAGTCCTTTTTGCTCTGTTTGGAGCCTATACAGGATCCGATTTTTCCTATGCACTTTTCTAAAATTTCACTTTGCCTTGGATAATTATTGCCAGATAAAATGGGAACTGCAGCCCTCTATTTAAATAATTACGATGCCGACTAGGTGGGCTTCAGCAGGGCTATCATTGCCCGCTACAAAACCCGAAACAAACACTAGATGGCGGCAAAGAGATCCAGAAGTGGGAACCTCTTTGCTGCTCTTGTGATCAAGTGGAGTTTTACAGCCTTGGCGGGGTAGCCCTGATCCTCCTCTCTGTGCAGAGTCAGGGTTAGTATCCGCCCTAAGGACCTCCCTGCGGCCAGGCTTGAACATCTTAATTTTTCAGGGTATTCCTTTTTCACACGTAGGCTGCTCCTGGACGGGCTATTTTAGGGGACTCCCGACACTGTCGCCTTTCTAGCAAGCCTTGCAACGTCCTTGCTTTGCCTTCCCTCCCCGGGTGAAACTGCACCCTGGATCTGACTGGCCTGGGCTGGAAACGCCAGCTCTACCTACCCGTCAAATACGTCTGCCTTCGCTTCGCTGCCGCCTTCTTGGCTGGTCTGGCTCTTTCGACCTCTTTGGCGAGGAGGGGAGCTTTTGCGTCTCTGTCCACAGTCCTGTTCACGGGCTGCAGAGGCTGGCGAGGCTCCCTGGCCACGCACGGGTGGTAGAAGGCCGGAACCTCATGGCCCTGCAGCTCTTCCCACTGGAGAAGACCTGCGGTGGGCACTTCCCGGAAGAAGTCGAAGTTCCACCGCTGCTTCGCCCCTTCCATGCTGGAGCTCATCACGCTCTGGAACTCCTGCTGCAAATGCTCGTGGTCCACTGGCCCGAAAAGATTCCTGCGGGTGGGGGCTGCTTTGGCAGAGGTCAGCTCCATCCTCCCCCCCTGCTGCCTGTCGAGGACGAGAGCGTCAAGCAGCGAGGCCTGTGGAGAACAGAGGCACAACAAACTAAATATGGGTTTCTTCGATTCACAAAAGGGAAATTTAAGTATTGACCTCTGTCTCGGGGATATTCCCCTCCAGTTAATAGGGATAATATCTTAGAGGATTCCTCCCTTCCTCCCTTCCTCAAATCAGCAGAGCTTCAATCACCACCTCAACATTTTTGGCCATGCCCTGAGGACCCCCCGTCCCCCATCCTTCTTGTCTTGGGGCCTTCCTTTTCATCCCCTGACCATCCTGGGGGTCCTTCTCTTGGCCTGGAGCACATCAGCCTGCCTGCCTTGGGCCCAGAGACCCCTGGAGTTGGAAGAGGCCTTGAGGCCCCGGCGCCCGGCCCCTGCTCCATGTGGAAACCAAATCCAAGCCTTCCAGGCAGGAAGGGGAACTTGCAACCTCGCTGGGCCACGGATCCCTCTGTGAAGCCCTCTTCCAGTCCAGGAGGGCACAGTCAGCCCCAGATGAGCTTCGGTGGCTGAGGCTGGACTCCAGCCTGGCTCTTCCTGCTCCTAGTCCAACCCCGGAGCTATTTCTGGTGGGTCTGGTTGAATCTGCTCAGATGTGCATTCAAGTCATCCTTCCCAGCTTCCCAGTCCAGCCTCCCTCTGGCATTTCCCGGTGGTCTCCCATCCATCCCGCTCAGGCCACCCCATCTTCCGGGGGACCCGGCACAGGCAACACCGG